CGCCTAACTCTGGTGGAAGTTTGTCTCTTGAGTCGGATGCATCGTTCGGAAGTGGAGCCTCGCGCTCTCGGTCAGGTTACCTGTTGCGTTGGGGCGGCAACACCTTGATGTATAAATCGATTCGACAGACCCTTACAGCATTTTCCACATGTGAAGCGGAAACCGGGGCAATGGCCGATGCCATAGCTGACATGTTGCGGATGGAAAGCTATGTCACGCAAGTTGGAGAGGTGAGTGAGAAGCTGGCCATGGGCGACAATGCAGCATCTATTGCATCCTTGACAAAACCACGTTTTCAGGAGACGCTTTGGCGGACCAGGCACTATGGGCTTCGTGCGTCATGGGTACGAGATGTCTTGAAAGAGTCAAATATTGCAGTTTCGCACAAGCCTGGCTCCGAGCTCACAGCCGACCTTCTTACCAAAACTCTTCCACGGTTGAAGTTGGAGCAATTCCGCAAAGCCATTGGTGTTTGCAGAGTACATGATGACAATCTACAACTTAGCTGAGACACGTTTTTGGCACTACGAAGACATCGGGAACCGTTTGCAATCGAAGAACTTGCATGGGTCCTATACCTGTGGCTTATCTGATGCAGCTGAGTCTCTCATGAGTTTTTACTGCTGGTCGTTGGTGAGCCCCTTTTGACTGCTATTGTATAATACAAGCGCAGATTTGCATGAGCACACCTTTGGAGCGTCCACTGACTAGTACGGGGTGTAATTCATTGTGATGAGCTGCTGTAGTCTAAAAGTCCACTGGGGAAAAAACTGAATAAAGCACCTCGAAAGAAGAAAAGGCTCCGAGGCCTGGCCATCACGGGGGCATGGCAGTAACGTAGGACCCAAGGCCCTACAGCAGCGCGTAAGTGTTTGATAGATGCTAGCTCGCTTCAACGTTTTGAGCACTCTCCAGGCAACTTGACCTGTCGTGTGAGGAGGAGTGTGTTTGTAGAGAGCATAGACAGCAGCCGTGCAAGATCAGTTGAAGAATGTGGCAGACCGATTGCTGCATGACCCCTGCGCAAGGATGACTCTTTGCTTTTGCAGGAACGATACTTGAGAAGATTAGCATCGCCACTACATGTGGCTCAAGATGACACAGCAAAATCGAGAAGTGACTCGAGTGACGAGGTTGTCTGGTTTTGGTGAGGGTGTTGAGTCTAGGACCCCGGTTGCCGGTACCCAAGACCCGAACCCTGTCCTGGAGCCCGCTGTTACTCCCTAGGCCCTAACCCAGGTCGTTTCAGGGGCTTAAGTCGGATGTATGGGGATAAGTGATGCTTCCGTACTCCCCCACCAGTTCAAACAGCAGCAGCAGCAACAACAACAACAGCAGCTGCAGATGAGTCCTGCCTATAGCATAGTCACGGACCGCTTGAGCCCAGAAGCACACAATCACAAATGCTTTATGTAACGCCGGCAGCACTGCTGCCTGAGAGCCTTGATTCCCTTGGTGGAAGCAGGGTCGTCTTTGGCTGTCGTCGCTGTTCCGCGGGGTTTTGGCCATACTCTCAATATCGGCATGAGGAATGAGTCGGGCCAGGTGCTTCTGGCGAAAGGCGGACAAACTCACAGGCCACGCCAGGGCAGAGAACCACCTGCTCCACATACCTGTCCGCGAGACCGCAGATTTGCCGAGTGAGTGCTTCATGTGTGAAGTCCCCCCGCGCGAGCTGGAATAGGGCGACTGCAGTCCAAGAAATGGGAACAGGAATGGCCATGCTTTCTTTCCGTGTGCTCGCGCAGCACTTTCTGGTTGGAGGGCATGAAGGGAAGGCGGATGGCATTGAGCCCACATCTTTCCCCCTCCAAGTTCAGACACAAAGTCATAGTTGGGGAGAGAGCCGCTGCCTATAGTCGCATCATGACATCCAGCGCAGCTCCGATGTGAGCCAAGATGGGAGTTCCAAATTGTTGTATCTCGTCCGCAGTGTCACGTCGACATCCTGCAAGGCCGGCCAAATGCGAGCAAGCGTAACCTGCATCTTGGCCCATCTTATGTCGTTGTCATCTGGACTTAGGCCCCGAACCGTGGATTTGTGCCAAAAGTCCGACTTGCTTGCGTACCAGTTTGAATCCATGATGGAAGAGCTACCAGAGCAGTTCTATCACGCGAGCAAATGAGAAGAGTGCTTCCCACTCGTGCAACTTAAGCCTGGGGTCACCGGTTCGGTTTTTACACAGGGTTGCTCCGCAAGCACGTCACGTCACCCAGACGTCAATCACTTTTGAACAGTTCTGGTTCAGGTGGATGGCAAAGTGCCGAACAAGGGCGCTGTCTTGATCACCCTACTGCTGCAGCCGTCCTCGCGATCATGTTCCGCCAGTCCAATAGCGCCAATGCCTCTCATGCATTGCTGCGACTTCCGAGCGCCTTTCGCCATTGGAGCAACCTTTACCCTGCCCCGCCACCCGACTTGGGGGGGCGAGCACGCATGGCCAGGATAGAGGCGTGCTCGGAAAAAGCAGCCAGAGCTCACCTACACATGCTCAGGCTTGCCTGCAAGGATTTGCATTCGCCGATTCACTAACTTGACGGCTTGGACAGTGAAATCTGCCTTCTTTCGGATTCGAAGTGGCGCCAAAACTGTAGCAGACTGGGTCTCGGTCTTTCTACGATCTCCAGAAGGGGATGGGGATCCTGAAGCTCAACAAGAAAATATCACTTGGAACGCAGAAAATCGAAACCTGTGACCTTGGAACTTCTAAGCCTTGCAAAAGCAAATGAAATGGAACGCGCATGGGTTTGCAGCCTGACTGTTGTAATTGTGTTCGTTCGACTTGGTGTTTGTGCGAGTTGATGCTTGCTTATTTTGCAAACGACAAGATGGTGTCAAGGTTGGGCTTCTGCCGTGGAGACTTCAGGCAGGGCTTAGAGCTTCGGGGGGTTCACAAAAGCTGTTTGCTTTTTGTTTTTTCTGTTGCATCTTGCTCCCGCTACCATTTCTCTGACATAATAACTTCCGCACGAGTAGGAGAAAGCCTCAAGAGCCATGCATGCACAGTGCGGCAGTTCAAGGATAACAGCGTGCATGTGGGATAAGATAGGGATGCGATAGAAGGTTTAAGGACTTGACTTCTTTAAGTCAAGGCTTCAGATCCAGCTTTTCACCAACTTTCGGGCTTCGTCGTTCGGAGGCTTGGGGATTCTGAGGTTAGGGGCTTTATGGAGCATGGAAGCTTCAGGATCTCCTCCCGCCGCCCTCCATCAAGGCATGCTGAAAATAAGAAGGGCGTCAGTTCGGCTCACGGCGCTTGCTCTGGTGCACCTAGAAGTCTAAAGTCACTCCGTCCGCGCCAGCAAGAACTCAGGTGCCTCAGACTTTGTCCATCCAGTGCTCTCCATAGTGCGGCGTGTTCTTGCCAAATGGTTTGCAGAGATGTCCCAGCTGGAACATTGATAAGCCTGCCAAGGCATGCAGAAGGTAGGCAACCTTCCAATCGTCTAGCAGGACCCTCGACGCGTGGAAATCCATTTCCTTTCTTGGCCTGTGCATCCTGACGTTGGCCAAGTTGCCTGGCCGGAGTGGCGGAGTGTCGTAGTTAGTGTGGCAGCCATGCACGTTGCCCCGTTGCGGCCAGAACTTTTGGGACCCGCTTTGTCCTCAAGCTTGCTGGTGCACATGGCACCAGACATGTAGTAAGAGATATGTGCTGCTGGTGATCCACCTTTTCTTGAACAGCCCTTTGGCAATTTCTCTCTAGGGCGGCTTTCGGGCTTTCCGGGATCCAGCGGCGTATTGCTTAGGTGAGATGTCTCTCTACTTCTTGTACCCATGTAAAAAGATGATCCGTCATCAGCACCCAGACGTAAACAAATCCCATGGGAGCTCGCACAGGAAAGCTGGGCAACGTACCTTCACTCCACGACATACCATGCCAAGATCCAAAGCCGGCAAATCCCGTCTCATCCTGGGCTCTCCACACACGGGGATGGTTGGACAGTGAGGGCGCTGGACTCGGGGCTTCCAGGTGGTGGTGGAGGTTCAGGTTTTTGTCTTCAGGTAATTTCAGGGCTGTCTTTAGGAGACGTGGTGCGAAAGGCGATATAGGATGAACTGCAGTGCTATACGCATTCTTTTTGTGTAGTGTAGAGCCTCGTGTCGAGACTGGGTGTCCTGCAGCGCTTATGCTTTTAGGCACTCCGTATAACCCTTATAAGTTCCGTACTAAGACCTAGCAAGTCAACAGTTCTGCCGGCCCCATCTGAAGTGAAATGCAGAGATCTCCTCAAGATTCGCTCATAGAGATCTCCGCATGATTGTTTTGGGTGTGAGTGTTGGCACGTGAACAACACGTTGCAATGTTCGTTCACTTCTTTGCCTGTGAATGTGTGTATTCTGTTGGGTTAAAAGCCTGAATCCCTGACCTCCACAGACGGAAATCGGTAGTTCCCTGACCTCCACAGACGGAAATCGGTAGTTAACCTGCCTGGCTGCCGGCATGGTCACGGCATGTCGCGGCAGCACCGCCGCTGCCCCTCGCCATCACATGAGTTTGTATGAGTTTTGGTTGAGGGTTTAACAGGACGTCTCTGGTCTATCTCAAGGTGGCACTCCATTCTGCGCCGTCTGTTTTGCGACGTAGTAGGCTAGCCCATCGTAAGGTAAAAAGCTATATCAGGTAGTTGCTTCCGAGTTTCGAAGCTTGATTGTGAGTTTCGACAACAATCTTGAAACGTCGTTTTGCAGTGGACACTCGGATGCATGAATGCGGTTTCACGGTCCAGGATGCTTTAGACGCTTCATTGCTGGTGGAGTGGGTTGTTGCTGTACTGTCTTCTGGTTTGAGCTCGGATTCCCGATCTTGCGAACTCGGTAGGCGGTGCTGTAGGCATGAATCTGGGAGACAGAGGGTTTTCTAGTGTGGGAGTGTGTAGGCTTCTGATGGGTGTAGAGCTCCGAACAACTGAACATGCGGGCCCAAATGCAAACTGAGAGCAGAGTTCGGAAGCTCAGCTGAGTCCTTTGCATCCCGATTTGCCGTTGCTGGTGCAGTATGACGCACGCTGTGCAATGGCTGACTCTGTCGCTGACTCTGGCCTGTGCTGCCACATCTGTCAGCACATCCTGTGAAGCTGAAAGGGGTGATGACACGTGCGCCCTCAGCCTTTCAATGAAGAGGCATGGTGACGCGAAACGGTTTGCCCCTCCAGTCAGCGAGAGCATTGCCACGTGCAATGGCCAGGACCACCGCGGTCAAGAATGTGTCTTTCCATTCGTACTCCATGGCGTGAAATACAGCACCTGTACATCATATGGCCATCCAGGCAAGCAGTGGTGTGCCACCGAAGTGGACCATGAGGGCAGTGTGACGATGGGCATGTATTGCTCGGAGGAATGTCCGCAGGACCGTCGCACTGCCCTTGAAGCCTGCAAAGCTGTGTCGATGGGGCCACAGCGCTGTGGGGCGAAGGATCCCTGGAGCGACGTGGAGGCCTGCCTGGTGAATGCGTGCCCCGCAAGATGCAAGAACCAGAGCACGTTTCCGTACCCTGGATCCGAGTACTCCTACTCCGCAGTCACAGGATTTCCCGCCATTCACGATGCAATCTTGGAGAAGCAGCTGCAGGCCGTGAAGACCCTGAAGCACTTTGCCCCGGGCTTTTCGCCAGAAGCAGAGGCAGCGGACTTTCTTCACAGCACGCTCTCCTACATCTGCTGCAAAGATGAGAAGGAGGTCATCGCATACCAGAAGGCGTTGAGTGAGTTTAAGTTCAGCTGGAAAGATGTCGGAGCCATCGACTGGACGGAGGTGGGCTGCAGCTTGGACAGCATCGCCAATCCAAGCATCGTGTATTTGGAAGCCTTCACATCGGAGAAGACGAACGAGAAGCTGATGCGTTTCGCACACAAGCTCGAAGCCCACATGGCCGGGTTGGGCTTCGTGGACTCGAACCCACGAGCCATTCCCTTCCACTTCGTGATCAGCATGCTTCCCATGCGGCTCCCGGATGGACCTGCGCTCAACGTCGGAGACGCCATGAAGGCGATCTCCACCTACGACTTCGGCACGACCTACCTCTGCGAGTTCTACTTCCTGGGCTTGCCATGCCTAGGCTTGCCCGTACCCGGATGCTCCGACACCCAGGCCGAGAACGGCCTGAACTTCGGGATGAACATGGTCTATGCGAGCGACTGGGAGGACTGCCCTTACGGCAAGGATGCCCTCGGAGAGACACGCTACATGACCTTCAACGGCCTCCGGGTGATGTTCAAAGTGGTGCATAAGCGGTAATTCATCAGCTGACCAGCTGACCCGGCCCAGATGCGGCGCAAGATCTTCGTAAGACTTGGTGGCCCAGCGGTACCCTTTTGCCCTTTTTTGGGGTCCTAGTTTCCCACAAAAAAGGGCACCCTTATTAGACTATGGTTACTGGGCTACCAAGAAGAGCGAGGGTCTCCCACTTTCTCCCAGTTTTTGGCGACCACTGGCCCGATCGGCTCGTGTGCCAACTGTGCAAAAGCTTCTCTTACCAGGACGGGCTATTGTGCCCTAGAACCCCCCCTTAAACCGGCGCCTTTTTTCGGGTTGATTATGGGGGATTATAGCGCTTAAGAAGGCCCTAGATAGGGTGGATTATGGGGGATTCTAGGGCCTAATAGCACATCCTGGTCCTGTCCGAGTGGGGTTGCGTGCTTGTTGTTGCTAGGGCGGGAAGCCTTTTCGTTCGGGTTCAAGCCTTGTCTCGAAGTGCATGCAGCGAATGAGTTGAAGAGTTGGGCGGATTTTGTAGGCAGGGCTACCGGTTTGCTTTAAGCAGGCTTTGCAAGCATTACGTTCTCACTGCCCATCCGGTGTTGCTGAGGCCGAAGCAAGATGAAGCGTGAGCTCCGACCTGTGCAGATGCCGAGGCTGTAGTGTCCTGTAGCTCCAGAGGCACACATCATTCGTAGCTTACAACTGCGGATAGCAGCGCATCTTAGAGGCACATTTCCAGAATGCATCGGTGGCGTTCTCTCAGTATCGGTCCATTCAAAGAATGGCAGATTGGAGCTATGAACAAGTTCAGCTTGGCAAAAATATATTCTGCGGCTGCGGCTTGTCTCGGTCATGGCGCTTCATAGTATGGTGAGAGAGGGCGGCGACAAGCAGCTCTCTCGATTCTTTGCGAGCATGGGGTCTCCCATCAGTATTCCACGACGCAGTCATCGGCGGAGACAGTGCAGGTCTGTGGTGAGGGTCAACGAAATGTTGCAGCTTGGTTTTGGAAGCTCTCAACAAAATTTAGGTCTTCAAGGCCCCCATAAGACCCCCCCTGAAACTTCTCCTTTGGCTTGTAGAGGTTGTTAAGGGTGTCCCTGAACTTTAGGGGCCCTCCAAAGGCGTCCTGGAGCCCAAGAGCCCTGCCGCACCTGTACATCCTTATTGACCCCCCCCCTGGAAACGGAAACGTTCTGATGGAAGTATTGGAGGTCTTAGAAAAGAGCAAGCAAGCGTGTTTTTTGAGAGTTTTCTAAGGGAAGAGTGCATGTGTAGAACAGCGCGGGCTTTCTACTACACAAAAGCCCGCGAACAAGTCAAATCTCGGTAGTGCTTTTGAGTGTCAAAACCACCTTTCGCTCTTGCGCGCCTCCCAAATCTTCACGTCCATGCTGTTCGCTTCCCTGGAAGTAGCTCAGTACCTTGGTGCGGCCAGTCATGATTGCCGCAGCTTGGGCCATGTCGTTAGTGGCCATTCAGAGCAATGATGCTGTTGGGGCAGAGAGCAGTGGAGTTTCGGGGATGGCACCAGGGTCTTTCATTCGTTGTCCTGGGCCTACTAGGCTTGTGTGTTGAGTGTGAAGTCGTTGCGGTTCCGCAAAAGAGCTTAGCTGAACATATGCAGCCATGGACCCCCTGACGTTGCTGCAAGCAGCTGCAAGTGCAGTAGCCTAAGTTAGAGAGATGGCCGTGCGCTTGGTGGCCTTCTGCATCCTGTCCACGTGGCCAGCCGGCGCGCACGCGCAAAAGCAGGTGCTTCTCGTTAATTTGGTTGTTTCACCTTTCATTGTGTGATGAGACATGCCTTGGCGCTTGAGCCCGTGCCATTTGCGTTGAAGGTCGAATGCCACACACGTTTCTTGATGGCAGGCACCGTTCAAGGTCAGCGCGCAAGTTGTGAGCGGTTGGCCGCGGACGCCTTCAGCTGTCGTGGGCCAAGACGCGCTGTTGTCCTGAAAGCTGAGATCATGTGCAAGGCTTTTGCGCCTTGGGTGAATCTGAGGCGCAATCGCTGGAGTGGATTCGTGATGTCGATGTCAACCAGGCCGCCGTGTCGCACGGATGGGACAGATTCCGTCTTCGACGTGCTCAAAGAAAAATATCCTGCACCGATGCCCTTCACCGGTTTAAACGAAAATGGGCATCTGCAGGCATCGAGCTTCTTGCACAGCTTGGGCCGGGGACTCACGTTTTTGTTTCTTTAGGCAGGCCGACAGTAGTGGCAAACTTGCGTGATCATATGGCGTTCCCCTCGGTTACGGCTGTAGCGTTTAAGTTCAGGGTTGGGGCTTTTGGGGCTTGGGCTGTCAAGTGCTTTTGGGGTTTAGGGGTTTAGGGTACAACGCATGTGCATGCAGTCGTTAAAACTTTGGGGGTTAGCGGTTAGCAGTGTTGCTTGCTTCTATTCTTCTTTCATTCCCCTCTCCCCCCCCGCCCCCCGAGCGGTACATCTTAAAAACCTAACCCCCAAATCGTAAAACCTAAAGCCCCCAAAGCCCCAAGACCTAATCTCCAAACCCTAAACCCCAAGCCCCAAAGCCCGAAGCCATAGACCTTAAACCCTAAACCCTAAACCCTAAACCCTAAACCCTAAACCCTAAACCCGAAACCCGAAACCCGAAACCCTGCACCCTATCAGATGAGGCAACTCGACCCTTCCACCCAGCCAGAACAGCGGTGAGCTGGCAGCAGCAGAGGCCGGAGAAGTCATCTGCAAGTTTGGTTTAGGGTTTAGGGTTTAGGGTTTAGGGTTTAGGGTTTAGGGTTTAGGGTTTTGGGTTTAGGGTTTAAGGTACTTGGAAGTTCATAGGTACTTAGAAGTAGGGTTTATACATGCTTTAATTGCCCCACTTAGAACACCTCTTATGAGTAATCATGAACCTCTAAGTATGGTTCTTCTCCCCATGGGTTTCGCTGCCTGTGGTTACACTTAGGGCGGGCCAACTGTGGTTATAGAGATCTAGCACCTCCTCCAGAGCTATACCTTTGTGTGTTTGCGATTATATTCTGTGATCTGTGATGGTACTGAGTACTATGGCTCTATTGATTCGGAGCATGATTCCAGCAATGGTCTTCGTCTTGACCGCGGCTCCAGATTTGTCGCAGGCGTTGTTGACATCCAGCTCGGCTCGCACCTACCACGAGCTGTTGGTACACAACTCGTACTGCAGCTCGGCGGCACAACGAGTCCCTAGGTCAGTGACGTGCCGTTGACGACAAAAGCAGTGTACTCAATTTTCGCTGAGACTCTCCGCGCATCGAGTCTTTGAGATCACTGGAGAGAACGGACAGGCCAGTTGCTGCGTGTTTGCGGAGGCGATGATGTATAGCCAATGGAGCCCCTCTCATGCAAACATGCTGGACCGATGGCCCTGACCAGGAAGCTCTACGGTCCAAGCCTCATACGCTGTCTCAGCAGCATTTGCTTTGCTTGTCAGTCCAGCAGGGAAGAGCCTCTAGAAACTCCATGACCTTCCATGGAGGCAAGGACTGCCCTGCTGGCCAAGCCTGGGCGCTTCTGTGGCCGGGACCTGTGACTTGCGCTTTGCTTCTGATGCCTTTTGCCCAGCCCTTTCTCACCTCTAAACCCCAAGCTTGAAACCCTCGACCCTCAACCGTCAACCCTCACTGTCGAGTTCAGGTCCAGTGGCACAGCACCCCCAACAAGGGCGTGCAGTGTGCCTCGGCTCCCTGTGCCAATCCGCCAGTTTGCCTTACTGGTCCTTATAAGGGAGGTGGGGAGATTCATGGACCCTTTATAGCGCTTCAAAGGTTATATAGTAGGGTGGATATAGGGTACCGAGTTATGGCACCTCAAAAGGTTATAGGTTCTGTAGGGGGAGGGTATCCACTTATTTACTTCCCCTACTTGTAAGCTTGACGGCTCGTGGCCTGATTCGGGTACTTTCTGAGCAGGCCTCTCCCATGTGCGCAAGGGCACCCCTCCCCGACAAACAAAGAAAACAACAAAAACAATTCTGGAAGCCCTTAAGCCCTTGACTTTCGGAAAGCCCCTCTAGACCCTAGACCCTAGACCCCAAACCCCAAACCCCAAACCCCAAACCCCAAACCCCAAACCCTAAACCCTAAACCCTAAACCCTAAACCCTAAACCCTAAACCCTAAACCCTAAAACTTGGAAAAGCCCCTCGTCGAGCGCGAGCCATGTCTGATGCCTCCGCCGCACGAGGCCGAGGCTCTGCAGAAGGAGCTCCGTGCAGGAGGCCCTGGAGGCCGGCCAGGTTTAGGGTTTAGGGTTTAGGGTTTAGGGTTTGGGGGTTAGGGTTTGAGGTTTAGGGTTTCGGGTTTAGGGTTCAGGGTTTTGGGGTTCAGGGTATTTTGATGACAATTATGGTCCTCTGGATTGTTTGATAATGCTTAGCATGATTACAATGGCTAAACTGTTACTTGGTTGCCATTATTGTCATTACTTATTGTGGTCATTGTCATGGTTGTTGTATATCGTGCGAGGTTGGCTGGAGCCAACAGGAACTCTGGATTCTTGCCCTTGCAAACCCTAAACCCTAAACCCTAAAACCCAAACCCTAAACCCTAAACCCTAAACCCTAAACCCTAAACCCTCAACCCTAAACCCCAAACCCCAAACCCCAACACCCTGCCTCTGTGAAGGATTGGCTTCGGGCTTTGCCGCCAGCCGCTCCTGGGCTGCAAGAATGAGGGTTTAGGGTTTAGGGTTTAGGGTTTCGGGGTGTTTAGGGGATGCTCTGCTTGGAGGTTCATTGGTACTTTTTAGCCAATTAGAGAACTGAACTTACAACCGTTTTAATTGGGGCACTTTCGGGTCTTCTAAGTCGGTTATTCGTACAGCTATACTTGGTTTAGAAGTGCCATGAACCTCCAAGTAGCTCAAGGCCAGCCATAAGAACCTACGGCCTCAGAGGCCAGCAATCCCTAAACTCAACAACCCGCAGGCGCGAAAGGCCTTAAGAAGGCCCCTAGAAAGGCCCTAGAAAGGCTCTTATAGGCCCCAAAGGACCCTGCAGGCCCTCAAAGGCCCTGAAGCCTAAAGACGTAGAACCCTCAAGCGCTCGCTGTCAAAGCCGAAGGCCTGGACCTTCAGCTGCGGGTTGGTTCAGCCGCTGGAAGCCTCAGACTCTTCGGTTTAGGGCTTCGAGATTTTTTAGGGTTCGGGGTTTTTCGGGAGTTTTGGGGGCTTTGTGGGTTTTTAAGGGTCTTCCGAGTTTTTCGGGTTTAGGGTTTTAAGGGTTTGGGGCTTTTAGGGTTCAGGGCTTTTCAGGGTTCAAGGTTTGAGTGTTCTTCTTCTGATCGTGATTTCCAAAATGGCTTTCGCGGTTCTCTTGGCCCGGCGATCGTCATCGTCATCGCCACCACCATCATCATCATCATCATCAGCAGCATTTCCACTGTGCAACTATGATGCTATGATTCTCATCATGGCTGTCATCATCAGCACCACCATCATCACCACCACCACCATCATCATCGTCATCATCGTCATCATCGTCGAGCTGGTTGCCCAAAACTCTTCCTGAGAAGCTTGCCCTGCCGCGCTTCTCTGCTGACTCAGGGAGTCGCGGTCATCTACGGGGCCGTGAGCTCCAAGGGCCTCCACAGCCTGGCCCCCTTGCTCCAGCAGGTGCCAGACCCTTCTCAGCCCAAGGAAGCCCTTAAGGAAGCCCTCCAGTGATACCCACTACCTCTTCATTAAGGAATATACCTCAAAGAATAACACGGATCCCTATGCAATTTAAGGCATACTATTTATGGGGTATTGGACTCTCTGGGTACTTGAATGCTCCGGGAGCTTAGAGGAAGCAGGGTTTGAGCAGGGTTGTTAAAGCTTACAAAGTTCCCCGAGCCTTCAAGTAGGCAGCGAGATGCTCTATCACGGGGTTAGGCGTCTGTTGCGACATCCTTGTTCTTGAGCTGCGCGGCTGAATGATTCGTTGCAGAAGGCGTGAATCTTCGTGCCCCTTCCGATGCTCAAGTTCGAATTGCAAGTTGGGGTGGGCCGGTTAGCCTCTGCCAGCCGAAGGTTCATGCAAGGGTCCTTCTGGCCATGGTGGGCCGTGCAGACACCCGACTGGCGATGCGCGCCCCGCCTCCGAACTGGACTTGGGGGCTTGGGCAGGCCGGAAGCTCCAAGGAAAGATGCCCGCACACGGGTGCCGCAGATCTTTCGGGCCAGCGCCAGCTTCGGTGTCACCCTTGCGGCTGCCCTCCACGGAGCCGGCCGAAGCGGTAGAGTCCTGCGCGCGGTGGGTGGGAAGCCGGATTCACGGGCGTACGAGGCGTACGAGTCGTACGCGTCGTA